GGGGGGGGGGGTGCCGTTACAAAAGAGTGAAAAAAGGAAAGTTTTAGTGTTTTACTATAATGATGAGAGAGAAATGATATCAATATTATTAGAATAAAATTAACTCCTTAATTTGAGGGTTAACTTATTTTTAAAATGTGCTATAATTGCAAAAGAAATTGTCATTTATAGAATAAATAAAGAATAATATTATTAATGAAAATAATATTAAATAAAGGATTAGACATGGAAAAATCTCAACAAAGGAAGTATTGGGCCCATGTGGCCCCAAAACAAATGGAGTCTATAGTGGCCCATTTGAAAATAAAGGCCTTAGCCCAAAAAAATAAGTTAATGTTAGTTTTCTTCCTTAAATACCCAACCCTTCACTATTAATACTCGCTTTGACCTTGAAGATTTACCAATGGTTAGCTAACCTATCTCAAAGCCTAAAAGTTTAAGACCACCATTATAATCCTTTTTCTATCGGGTGAAATTCAAAAGTAGTCATATTTATAAATAGTAATTGAAATTAGCCACAGTTTCAAAAGTAACCGAAATTTAGCCACTTTTTATGTAAAGATAAATTTGAACAGAAATACTGTTCAAAATTTGAAAAATATTCCAGCATAATATGCGGCAGTTCGAATTTTTTACATGTGAACTTCCAGCATAACATGTTAAAATTCCTCAAAAAAGTATTGGGCCCCAAAGCAGATGGTCTATATGGCCCATTTGAAATTAAGGGCCTTAGCCCAAAAAAATAAGTGAAAGCCAGCTTTCTGCCTTAAATACCCAACCCTCTACTGCTATTCCCTCCCTTTTCCATATCTCTCTCTGGACGACAAACTTCGCTTTGCTCCGGAATCAATTGTATGTACTTTTTTTGCTTCGACCAAAACCCTAACCCCTGATCTTTAATTGTAAACAACAAATTTTACTGATTTTGTATCAATATTTATGTATTTGCTTTACTTTCTCAAAGAATGCATCAACCTTTATATATTGTTACTTTGTGATTTTGCGAGTTTTTTTAGTTAAATATATGATTTTTGCGAGTTAATATATGTTTTTATTCGCTTCTCATATGATAGTAGCTCAAAGTTGTGATGGTAGTGCGGTGTGATTGTACTTTTATATTGTAATAAATTCTGTGTCAAAATTACTAATTGTTAAAGGGTGGATTGTACATGTAAATTGATTGTGTCAAAATTCTTGTTTGATGTGTTCAGAGTTCAAAGTATATCTCTAATTAGTAGTTCTATCATATTCTTTTGCTATAAATTTTGGAGGCAGAGGGTTCTGATTCTAGGAGAGCGACATCAATTGCTAGTACCTAACTAGGTTTTGGATTTCTTAACACATATACAGGGTTTTTTTTTGGNAGACACTGATGGAAATGTTGGCAGATAGGGGTTACCTTGTTGGAGAGTTTGAGATAAATATGTCAAAACATCAGTTTCTTCAGAAGTATGGTGAGAATATGAAGAGAGAAGACCTTGTTATTCAGAAAGCCAAGCGCAACAACAGTTCTGAGCTGGTCTGTGCTCTTTCAATTTCCTTTATTGCCTAATTTTCAACTAAAGTATTCGCTAATAGTTGGGCTGAAGCTTAGTTGTTGTTGGCTAATCTTAACTAAGCTTACTGTCAGTTTATTTGCAGTCCTTTCTTGTCTAAGAATTGATTCTTTTCCAGGTTTTATGGGTTAAGTTACTCCTTTTCTACTAGTATGTTAGTATACTCTGTCACTTCATTGTATAACTGAAGATTTCATTTTGATAAAGTCTCAGAGTATCTTGTCATTGTTGTAATAGATGCTCTTGACATTGAATAAACTATCTTGCCGAAGACAAGTTAAGGGGGTATCATAGAAAGATGACTATTTCTTTCCACCACATAGTGAAGTAAACATATTTTATGTTAAACAATGTTGTCCATTATCATGAAGAAAAAGGAAGAAAAAAAAAAGTTTTTCAATTAGAAAATGAAAACACATTAAAGGTTAATTATGGATAAATGAAAACAATATAGCAAATGTAATTAGGAAGGACATTAAAGTTGGACTTCTCCAAAACAATTGGAAAAATCTTGACCGTGAATCAATTTTTTTGATGAAGAAATGTTATACAAGTTGTTACCAATAACAACGTGAATCAAACTTTTTTTGAGACCTAGGAGAATGAAAAGAAGAAAAAGCTCGTCAATATCTACAATATAAATAAAAGACTTAAAGATAAAAAGTGTATTTTTGTACCCCAGAGCTTTTGTCTAGCGGTAAGATTGTAACACGTGATGTGTAGGTTAGGCGCACGTCAAATGTTCGAATCCTGCCGAGGATAAAAGTCTGGTATTTAAGTGGAGACTGGAGAAGGGTAGAGGGACGAACCTATTACCCCCACCAATTTTAGAACCACACACCATTTTACCCTCGGGGATTTCTCAGTTATCAGAAAAAATAAGAAGTGTACTTATGTAGGATATAACAGCTATGCCCCAGTACCAAGCTAGGTGGTGCCGGTGGTATGAATACTCATTATCCATGTCACTCCATTTGGACATATTTTCTATATATATAGCAACAACAACAACAAATCCAGTAGTTTCCCACAAGTGGGGTCTGGGGAGGATAAGATGTACGCAGCCTTACCCCTACCCCTGGAACGGCAGAGAGGTTGTTTCCGATTTTCTATATACATAGCAATGAGTTCAATGTTGGAAGGGGAAATAATGTCTCCTTATCTTTTAGTTCAATAATGGAAAACGATATGCATATAGTTCAGAATCCAGGAACACCAAAGTTGGGAATTGTAGTTGTAGTTGTAGTTGCAACTCTACCTTGCATCACTTAGGTGTAAAGTTACAATCTCGGTGGAGGCTTTTCCTGCGTCTTCCTTTCCCTCCCTACCCGACTTTTCACTGTAATCCCCGTACCAAAGGAATTGAAAATGTTCAATATGAAAGCAACAGAATTTTGCTTGTAAAAATGCTTTTGTAATATAGTAACTAATGTGATATGACAATTTGTCCTTTGTATCTGTTTTGCTCTATGTTTAGCATAAAAATTTTCAGATACTTTTAGCTGCTTCAACATTTGAGTTTCTTGCATTTCACTTGGAATAATTTGCTCAGCGAAATTATTTGCTACCCATGTCTGAGCCATTTTCTTGGTTTATTGAATCCAGATATATGTGTTCTTTCCAGAGGAGGCAAAGGTTGGTGTTAAGACAATGAAAACTTATACGGAACGCATGAAAAAAGAAGATGTCTTCCAGGCAATCCTCGTTGTACAACAAAATTTGACTCCCTTTGCTCGTACCTGCATTTCTGAAATATCTACAAAATTCCATTTGGAGGTTTTCCAGGTGACTACTTACTATTTCTACAAATATTTTGTCCTTACTACTTTGAACGAAGGATTGCAATTGTTATAAAATAGCTGAGGAGCTTAGTTTACTCTAGTTTTGTGATCATTTTTTTGTTACCTTTTCTATTTGGTTTTTACTATATTGGTCTAACTATTGTTTATTTGAGCACCTGACACTACATCTCAAGTAGTAGGACCACCAAAATCAGAGGTTATTGTGATTTGCATCCATGTGCATATTGATAGGGGGATTATACATATATGAAATTTATCAATTCATCTTCTTTGGGTTTTGACCGAGAGTGATTCTACTGGCATTTTCACTCATATGAAGGATTATTTGGTATTCCTCCTTTTTCATTTTTGTGGTGTGGGAGGGGCAGCATTTTTGTTCTTTGTTTGACTTGGTAATCGGGGAGCTTGCATTTTGCACCTTTAGTTGTTTTATGTGATTGATAATTATCCATTTAGATAGTGAAAATTGGTGCTTAATCGTCGTGCTATGTGTTTAATATTTCAGGAAGCAGAGCTTTTGGTAAACATAAAAAATCATGTTCTAGTTCCGGAGCACCAGCCACTTACTCCTGAAGAAAAGAAGACCTTGTTGGAACGATATACTGTGAAAGAAACACAGGTTCGTGTCGATAACATTATTGCACTTGTTAAACTTTTGACCTCATATAATACATAAAAGACCAGGAGACACATGGTGCCTTCAAAATTTTGAAGGCAGAATCTTTTAGTGCTAGTGTGGTTAAGAGTGAAAGAATTAATGCGATGGCTTTGTATTCCCTTCAACCTATTGTGAATGAAATTGAAGATAGAGAAAGGAAGAAGATAAAGCAGCATGCTTCCTTATAGTGTTGAAGCCAAAATTGTCGTGATCTCCCTTAGTAGTCTAGAAATTAACCAATTTTTTCTTTGCGTTTTTTTTTGTGTGAAAGATCATTTGAAACCTTGTGTCGAATAGCTATTCGTCTATGTTAATGCATTTCTATAGCTTGACTCTATTATGACTTGGGGTTTGGCTGAGGGGAAATTTTATAAGGAACTAGGGTCCAGCTGGGAGGCTTGCTCAAACGTATCTACGGCTTGAACAATTCAGTTTCCATATTGAGTTATGCTTTGATGAACCTAATGTTTGTTAATTGAGTAGCTTTGATGAAAAAACTACCAGCATGCATTGGTTATTGCTGTCATGGCGTAGTTATCTTATGCTTCTACCTTTTGGTGGATTGTTTTGTTCCCTTCATCTTGATTAGCGCTGCCACTTTTAACTTGAGCTATTTGGATAGGCGTAGTTGATTACTATTGCATCTTCCTATCTAATCGAATGCCTAATAATTTCTTCTGTTAAAACAGCTTCCTCGAATTCAGATCACTGATCCTATTGCTAGATATTATGGGCTAAAACGTGGCCAAGTCGTGAAGATTATCAGACCAAGTGAGACTGCAGGCCGTTATATTACTTACCGATATGTGGTGTGAATTAGTTTTGATGTTTTCGCCAGTTGAAATGTAAGCACTGACCAAAAAAGTCAAGTGATGTAGTTGTTTCCTTCCCATTTTCTTCCTGTTTTTCTTTTCATATGAAATTATGAGAGACCAATTTATATGTAAACTACACCTCTGGGCTCTGCATCTTTTTTCCAGGTTGACCTGGTTCTGACTTCTGACCTCTAAAATGGGGGAGAAGTTCAAAAATAGCCAGATTTACAAGTGGTAATTGAAAAATAGCCACAATTTTAAAAGTAATCGAAATTTAGCCACTTTTCATTTAAAGATGAATCTGAATGAAAATACTGCTCGAAATTTAAAAAATACTCCATCATGATATATTGGAATTCCAGTATATTTTATTGGAGTTCTAGTATAATATACCGGTCCAGTATAATATGTTGGAAGTTCATACACAGGTGCTCCAATCTCTAATATACTGTTAACTTTTTGTGTTGTAGCAAATAATGATTATTTTTCAATGACTTTGTAAACGATGGCTATTTTTCAATTATCAGTCCGAAAATTGGCCAGCATATGCTATTTTTACCAAAATCAACGATCACGGTAATCAATTTATGTTGTTTTTAACCGACTAAATCAGATTTGCATTGTGTAGAACCTATTAAGGGGGAAGTGTACCCTATCTTGAATTTCTCCACTCTTATTACTCGAACTTGAAACCTCTAGTTAAGTAGACAATCCTATCCATCTCCAAATCCCTTGGTAATCCCTTATCTATAAATCAAAAAGGAGAGATGAGGATCAATCTCAACTCATCTTAAGAACTGTCCATAGTATTCTTTAATTTCAAGACGGACATTTTCCATAAACAAATTCAAAAAATGAAAAGTTTCACAGCTTAGATGCAACAATGAGAAATTCCAGCATCCAATGGTAGAATTATAAATTTCAGACGTCTACTAAATTGAGAACTTTGCCATATAACTTCCATTAGTATTTTATGATCTAGCAAACAAAATGTACATTGCATAACAAGAAAACAAAAAGAAGACCTCAACAAGAAGTACATCAGGTAAACACTCCAGAAAAGGTAAAAGATGATCAAACACCTGTAAGAATTAGAACTAGTGTTAAAACTTCTATCAGAGCAAACTGCAACTTCCCCAACCGTCAAAAAGGCAGCTCAGTGCACAAGGCATTCCGTATTCATACAAGATTCGGGAAAGGGGGCGTAACCCAAGGGGTACGATGTAAGAGAGGCTACCCCGACACAAGCATTGTTGATTGCTTTTACGGCTCGAACTTGTGACCTGTAGGGCACACGAAGACAACTAGCTTCCCCAACCATCAAAACATCTCATTGGTAGTAACTCTCCATCAACTAGTCAAACCAGACTTCGTCTCAATACACAAAATTTCATCATTTCCAAAACCATGCAAATGAAGAAGCAAAAAGTATAGCTTGAAACTTTAAAATTCCCTAGTGAATTTTAATGGAAATTAAAACAAATAATATGGTTCAGTAACCTTCTAGCCATTACAACAAACCTAGACTCCATACTAATTTTGCTAAAAGAAGAAAAAAGGTCAAGAAAATATGCTATAGACTCACCACTAATTAACCTGCCCTATATATCAACATACTTCATGTAGTAATCCTCCTATATTCCAATCCTCTGTTTCCTCATTTCCATAACTTTCCTATGAGAATTTGAATGTAAATTAGCTGAAAAGGTAGGACTATTCGCGGGACGATACTCAGGCAACAACCTTCCAGACTTATACCGGACCCCACAAGCGTTACAGAGCGTCTTAGGTCCCATAGGACCTGCACGCCATTGTGGGGTCTTGTCGACCCCACAATGCTGACATCTCCTACCAATGCTAGCTCTTTTAGCTTTGGTCATTGGTAATGAGAGCAATTCCCATTCTTGCTTATTGTTCTTGAATTTCAATTTTCTTCCCCATACACAACGCTCATTTGTCAAGTCAGCGAAGCTAATCCTTCGCCTTCTCTTGCCCCGTGCACGCGCGGGGTAGTTAACAGGAACTTGTAGGCTGCCACAGCCGATCATAAACGCGTTTTCCTTGTCGTTTTCAATGCAACTGTTATTGTTAGTGCTGATACTGCTACCGTTTTCCAGTACTGAAACTGGGCTGTGGTGATCAAATATGACATTTGGGATATTTTCGGAGAATATATCAAACTCAACTGCTGGAAATGCATCTTTATTTGAAAGCCATTCCAATTCTTCCTCTACATATTCCTGCAATATGCATTTTGTTAATACTATGATATTTCAATTTAAATGATGTTTGATTGGCTCGAAATTTGAAGAAAAAAAAACTTTTAGAACGTGTGATTTTAATATACCGTTGCACTAAGTTCCCGATATGCACAGGGTCCGGGGAAGGGCCAGACCACAAGTAGAGGCGGATCCAAGATTTCAAGAGGATGGGTGCACTATTGTGAAGATGCGAATTTAGAATTTATATTTGACGAGTTTAACTTTAGAATCTACCATATACCCACTACACTTTTGAAATTACAAGTTCAAAAGTATATTTTTTTAAATTTTTTAGTGATTTTTACATATATATCTATACTCCGTGCCGAAAACAAGACCGTCCGGAGTGAGATTTGAACCACCAATTTCACTCGTAGAGGTGCACCCAATGATTATTGCACCATAGGAGTCTTTGAGTACGGGTTCACAAGCGTATAATTATGTAATTATCAAGAAATATAACATTATTATACATGGTTTAGGAAAAGGATTATGGGTTCACGTGAACCCATACCGTAAGGATTAGATACGCCTCTGACCACAAGAGTCTATCGTACGCAGTATTACTTGCATTTCTGCAAGAGACTGTTTCCACGCGTGAACTATAGAGCGTGTGATTTTAAATATAATATTTATTTAACTATAATGACACGTCATTAAAGATAAATATAATATAATATTTAGGAGGGAGTATAATATTTTGTGGGGCTAATGTTGATAAGAAAAAAGTCAATTCCAAAATGAATTTGTGCATAGGGACCAAAATGTCTTTTTATATTTATAGAATGCAAGTGGAAATCGGATACGTCGTATTATTCGTACAGCTCAGTGCCTCGTGATAACCAACGTACCAATCATAAAGATATGTCGGCTATATTTTTTATTCCAAAAGTACCCTCAAATTTAATTTCCAAAACTGTCCCTATCATTTCTTAGCACAAAAAATGCAAGAATTACTATTTTCTTTTGTGAATGGAATTTACCAAAGAACATGCCATGAATAAATTCTTAGGGTTTCAAGGGTAAAATAGTCCAAATAGGAAAATTCTTAAACCCCTCCACTTTTATCAGAGGGTATCTTGTTCCCTCCGCCGGAAAATTGTCGCGTTACATTTTGTTTGAGTAATTTCTTACGCCAAAAAGAATGATATGTTATATTAAAACTTTAATAGCCACATAAACATTAAAATATTTTGAAAATCACAAATTTCAAATATTTTATATAGTCATACATATATTATAGCACCTTTAAAATCATAAATTTTAGAAGTTCCTTTAAAAAAAATAAAAAAAAAATAAGTCAGTTCGATGCACAAAACTTCTCGCGTTCACGCATGGCATGGGAAGAACCGCACCCCAAAGGAATTGACGTAGATAACCTATCTTAATGCAAGCATTAGTAATTACCTCAAGATTCGAACTTGTGACTTATATATCACACAGACAATTTTACCGTTATCTTATCGCTCACCTTAAAAAATTTATTTTAAAACTTTATGTCAAATTAAACTACGAAAAGGAAATATCAATCAATGACTTACATGAAATGAACGGCTATGATCATCCGGGAGAGAAGAATCCAAAGAAGAAGAAGAAATAGAAGGATGTTTTTCTTCATCCAAAGAGAAATTCAAAATATCATCATCAACCATAAAACAAGTTGTTGAGTCCAAAACTTCGACCATATTCATTTCTTTCAAACACAAAGAAAAAACTTAGAAAAATTTTAGAATAGAAGAAAAAATGAAACTTAATTTGGTTCTTTGGCTTTGAGTTGGTTTGAATTTGTTGACTGAGAGAGATATTTGGGAGAAATAGTGGGTGAGAAGAGATTTAAGAGAGAGAGAGAGATTGATCTCTTTCCTCTCTCTTTCTTTAATTTTATGGTATATTGTTTTAAACTCTATTATTGTTACCAATAAAATTAAGTTTTTTTTTTGGATGGCAAGTTGGCAACAAGAGGATGTTGATTTTTTGCTTGTTTTTTAATTTTATTTTCTTTCCTTTTACGTTTGCACATTGAAATGATACCCTGCTTATCTAACTTTTTATTGTATTTATTTTAACTTATATATTGTGTAATTTGACTCGACACAAAATTTTAAAAATAAAAGAATCTTCAAACTTGTTCGTCTTAAATATTACTCCCTCCGTTCACTTTTACTTGTTCATTATGGACTTTGCATACCCCTTAAGAAATAATAAATGAAGTGCATAATTTATCATGATACACATATATTAATTGATGCTTATTTTTAATGGATTTGAGAAAATAATTTGAAATGAGAGTAATTAATACTGTGGGTATAATAGAAAAAAAGAAATTGTCTTCTCTTGATATGCTAAAAATGACAAGTAAAAGTGAAAATATATTTTTAGAATATTTGACAAGTAAAAGTGAACGAAGGGAGTACTATATAGTATTGTGTGGCTATATATCCAAAACACATTATGCTACGTGAACAAAGCTTGTTTGGACGGTTGTTACCTGTTGTTATTGTATTGTTTTTTAAATACAATATTTATTTTGATTGTTACTTAAATTTTATTGTATTATATCGTTAAACATGCCATTACCGTTTATGGTTTGGTGTGTCGTGTCTTTACCTTATTTTTTTTCTTTCATCTCGCCCTTCCTTATTAGTAAATTATAAATAATTCTATTTTATCATTTATCATGTCTTTTATATAATAATTCTATCTCATATCTTACTTTTTCTTTATAATATTGTAAGTTTATTTTTTATATTGTTGGTGCATGACATCATAAAATGACAGCAAATAATACAATCTATCCAAAAATTATATACATCAAAATGATACGGTACAATACAATACAATATTATATGATCCATTATAAAACGATACATAACAACCACCTAAAAACATAGTAAAGTTGGATATTATTTTCACTACAAAATCCTCCACGTCTGTTCGAACAAACTGGAGCAAAATTATTTTTCCATATTCTAAAGAAGATTGGTAGTAATAAAATTGCATTTACTTTCTTCATTTAAGATTTTAGACCAAGAGATAAGTTTGAGTCAAGAATTTGGGTGAGATTGGCTTGATTCAGTAACGGATTTGTAATTGTGTTCTTAATTATGAGATTATCATTATTGAGTATATTGAATGCTGAAATAAAAATTCCTATTAAACCATGCATCAATTTCCTCTATTACCAAAAATATCCTTTTACCAAGGTATTCCTTCGTCTCAAATTATCTGTCATATTTCTCTTTTACACATTCCTTAATAAAATATTAAATAGGAGAGGTTTTTAACTGTTTTACTCTTATTTATCTTTTAAGATATAATCTCTCTTCATTTAATATTTACTCATTATTGAGACATTTATAGTCTTCAAGAATAATTAATATTAAGGGTAAATAGGAAAAAATAATTAATTTAGTTTTGAACTTCTAAAATGATAATTAATTTGAGATAACTATTTTAAAAAGTTACGACAGATAATTCGAGACAGAGAGAGTAGCTATTATAAGTTAGATACTCCTTCTATTTATTTTACTTGTCTACTTTAGAGATGTTCAATTTTACTTGTCCAGTTTCGAAAATCAAGAGATAATTTACCATTTTATATCTATTTTACCATTATTATTAAATACTATTAATCATTTTGAATTTAGTTTCTAATATTTTAATTAGGGGTGGTATAGTCAAAATTATTAGTTTTTTTAAGAGGTGTTTAGTCAAACATGAATAAGTAAAAGTGGACGAAAAGAGTACTTAAATAATGTTAATTGTGGTTCTAATATGAAAGTGAATGTGAAATTAGAATTAATACTAAACAAGATATAGAAACATTTAATCTAGTTCAAATTTCAAATATGATTTACATTTATTCTTTACCAAAAAGATCTTGCTAGGACAACTATCGTTTTTTATTTTTACTTAGATTTTCTCGTCTATATTTATTTATTTCAAAAAAGTAGGTATAGCTTTGCCATTAATTATATTTAGGTATTGGTCTGTATCAAATCGACAAGACCAGAAATAGTACTAATTAAAGTACATTATGAGTGAACGTACACCCAACATTTCGTGAACCTGAAAAGGACTATGCATTGTCTCTTGTTTTTTTTTTTTACTAATGTTCGATATCTGTATTGGTGTCCGGATCATTTGTATTAAACTATATTTTTAATCGCTTCAAAAAATAATAGTGGACAATATATATATTTTTTGTATATATATGTATTAATATATATATTATACTTTTTGGTTAGCTAATGCAATTAATTTCAGCTGATCAGTCAATCTTGTATTTTGCCCTTTCGAATTCGTGTCGTATAAGTGGGCGTTTGGACATAAGAATTGTAAAATTCCAAAAAATGGTGAAAATTTTTTTCAAGAAAAATGGTATTTGAAATTTAGAGTTGTGTTTGGACATGAATAAAATTTTGGGTTGTTTTTGAAGTTTTGTGAGTGAAAATTTTAAAAAACGACTTTTTGGAATTTTTAAAATTTTCGAAAATTTTCAAGATACATCTTCAAGTGAAAATTAAAAATTTTATGAACAAACGCTAATTTCGAAAAAAAATGAATTTTATTTTGAAAAAAGGAAAAAATTTCTTACGTCCAAACGGGCTCTAAGGCATGTTAAATGAAAAACACTTCCTATTAAGATTCTTTTATACATAGAACTCGAATTGAAAAACTCGATTAAAGATGCAAGATCTAATTCATCTCACCACAATCTATAACGATTAATTGTCTTTATTTATTACAGAATCTTCACATGGTGTGTTCCACTTTTGAAGGTAGGATACAAATGTATATAATTAAGAGATTATGGGCATTATTGTCATAACACATGTATCTTACATTATTAGCAAGAGTGCCGCTTAAAGCAACTCGCCGAATGATTACGTTAATGTAACCAATTAAAAAGAGCCACGTATGTTATTAAGTTATTAACTTTGATAAATTACATAGGAAAAATCTTTGACTATTCCGACACCGCATGTGGCGGCGATGATGTAGTAATAAGACTTTTTTAAAAAAAAAATAAAAATTCAAAAGTTCGAATCAAAAGTTTAAACAAGATTTTAACTTTTAAGAAATGGCTAATGAATAAAATTGAAGCTAGATTATTCTTGAGATATTATAAACAATAATAACATATGCAGTAAATTAATACAAGTTAGGTCTACGAAGAATAGTGTATACGTCGTCCTTACCTCTATCATATATTTTATTTTATGTGACATTGTTATTTTTTACGGAATATAAAATTCTCTTCCTTTGAACATTTGTTGAATATTCTCGATTTTTTAACATTTTAATTTATAATACTTGTAAGTAAGTTTTTAAATATGCGAGTTTTATTTTTTTTTAAATGTATGTATTTGTATGAAAATTAGGTATTTTGACAATCTTACTAAACTCTACCACATTAAATTTGACAAGTAAGGGCTCGTTTGGTATGAGGGATAAGGGATAATTAATCCAGGATTAAATTTGAGATGAGTTTATTTTATATTTGGTTGGAACAAAATTGTAGTGTATAAATAATCCCGGGATTATAGTATTTTTTATCCCTATAGGAGAGTGGAATAACTAATCTCAGGATAATTAATCTCGAAATAACTAATTATGGGATATCTTGTTTCCGAACCGACCCCCAAAATACTTGTTTTAGCGTAACATTGACTCTCTTGACTTATTCGTTTTTTTCTTCTTTTTTTGTGTAATGTCTAAATATGGTTTTGAAAATCTAAAATTGAATATCTCCAATGACTTACCTTTTTTTATTTTTTTTATTTTGTGATCCGGTGCTTTTTAAAATAATTTTCAGTGGAGCTAATTTGCCCGTTGGTAGGGACCACCCATGTTTTGGAAGTTCTATGATTAGATTTATTATGGGTAGATGCTTGCAACTACTCTCCCATTTTGCATGTGATAGTCACATGCAGTATAGAAAAAAGTCATATTGTGTGTTCTGTATTTTGTATTATTCAAATTGAAGTAGAAGGAAAGTAGATTCCCTTTTGTGACCCTATACACATCAACTCAATGATTTTGTAGTCAAGGGATGAGCATCTTGTCGAGCGTATATCGGAAACAATCTCTTTACATAGATACAGAGTCTAGAGTCTGTGTACACAATTCTTTTCAAATTCATATCTTAGTATTTCGCTAGGTATGTTGTTGTTGTTATTATTGTAAGGGAGGATCTTCCTTGTTCTTCACAAAAGGTCGAGTGAAGTTGGGACTTAGTTACACTTTTAGTAATTTATAATTCAGTAAAATTCAGTTTAATTGTTGAAAGAACATTAGACATTATTTCTACCACCAAAAATTCTGGTGGAGTAATAAGTACTCCTCCATTGTTAAGTAGAGATATCAAATTCGTGTCATGAGGATGAAGTCGTCTTAGGTAGAGTGTTGTTTGCCCCTAAAGTGAGACTTTCCGTCGAAAATCTGAATTGTCGGGCTCAAAGTGAATACTACTAGATACGGGTGAAAATCCAAAAAGAAAACATCATTTCTAATTTAATAAGATATCTCACGTGTTTACTGTTACGCGGCGCCTTCCCAAGATTCCTTGGAAGGGCGACATAAAGCTAAGCAACTGATGCTAGTGCAGTTACTATCCGCCAACTGAGGTCCCCTCTATACGCTAGACGAGATTGTCAGTATCGTGCGGGAAAACCAATGTCAAGAGCAATTGAGAGAACAGAAATGAGAATTGAGAATGAAAGAAAACTTTATTACATTAATTAAAGTTATTACAGAAAAGCAATGCGGTGTCGAGGGGGAGAGACACCAGTACAGAGAATTGTTTGTTTGCTAAAAAGTTTGATTGCTTGATCCCCCCTAATAGTGCTTAAAAAAAAGCCAAAGTTACAAGACTAGA